CTAAAGTGTATGGAGGGAATGTGTTACTGCATCAAACAACAAGAAGCTAATCCATCTTTTGATCCTTATTTACTTGTTTTTTTTTTTTTTTTGTGAGAGGATTGTATGATTGGTGGCTGTATATTGCTTAGCCCCCGTCAGTCTTTTATCCAATGAATTTTGCATCTTTTTGATTTATGCCTGAAGTTAAAATTCTCATTTTTAGACCCCCAACACTTCACGGAGTACCCAAAGATGAAACACTGCGGATGGGCCATGCTGAAACTTGCAGCGAATTAAAGAAGATATTTGCCGATCTTGTTAAGCAATCTAAGCCTCTGGAACTTCCTCTGGACACAGTTAACCTTCCACATGATGGTTCGCTAATTCCAGAAGCTTATGCAGAATTGGGTACTGTTTCCAATAGTCATGAACGAAGCCAGCCAATTGTTAACCTTCCACATGATGCTTCTGTTATTCCAGAAGCAATGGATGCAGCAGATACCGTTTCTAACAATAATGAATGCAACCAGCTAGTGGTTAACCTTCCACTTGATGCTTGGGTCATTCCAGATGCTTCCAGAGAAGGAGATTCTGTTTCCAACAATCAGGAACTAAACCAGCCAGTGGTCCACCCTCCACATGATGGCTCAGTCATTCCAGAAACTTCCCGAGAAGCTGATACTGTTTCCAACAGTCATGAACGAAGGAAGCCTGTGGTCAAGATTAGGGTAAGACAATCTGCTGCATCCAGTAGAGCTGAGGATGCTGATAATAGAATCATTGAAAAATCTCAAGCTGGCCATAACGATACTGATCGTGGTGCCAGTAGTTCTGTTTCTGTGGATGCCCCCCAAAGGAATTTCACCGATACTCTGAGCATTGGTAACCAAAATCTTGAGGATGTCAACTCCTGCCATGATGTTGGGTCCCGGGTGACTGCCAGCATCGGTAGTGCCAAACTCGCAAGTGACGGTGATGAACTAGTCAAGGAACTTCAGTGCACTGCTGATTCAGGCAAAGTTTCTGGGCTACCACCACCGGATGATCAATTGTCCCTCAGAATTATGAAGGAAGACTATGCAGAAACAGAGACTCATAAATATGCAAGTCTACAAAGACTTACTTTCACAGGTTCATTAGCCATGGAGAATTCTCATTTGCGGAGTAAAGAGAAAGGGAAGAAGAAAGATAAGGAAAAGAAGAGAAAGCGGGATGACCACAAAAGTAATCGGGATGATCCTGAGTACTTGGAACGCAGGCGGCTGAAGAAGGAGAAGAAGCAGAAGGAAAAGGAGATATCAAGGCTACTGAGTGGGGAAGCAAATGCATCTTCTTCAGCAGTTGAGTTGCAAAGTAAGAAAGAGAAAGCTGAAACCAAAATTCCAATACAAAGTGGGGAGACCAAAGCTACTTTATTAGAATTGCAGAGCAAGAGAGATGAAACTGAAATCAGGTTGGGAATGGTGAGTAGAACGGCAAAGGCACCCTCGGCCGAGCTACATAGCAAGGTAGAGGAACCTGGAACCAATGTGCCGACTTTGCAAGTGAAACCATCTGAAACAAGCGGGTCGAAGGTGGTTATAAAGAGGGTGGATTCAGGGACTAATGCATTAGAAGGTAATTCTCATAAACTCAAAATTCGAATTAAAAATCGAACGCTTAGCAAATCATAATGAAATGTATTCTTTGTCAATAGTGATATCCAATATTCATTTAGTTTTGCCTGTAATTGTCTTTTTTTTTTTCCAAGTATTGTCTAGAGGTAGGGGCCTAATATGAGAAACTACTTGTATGGATGCAGGAATATCAATTAAAAGTGATTGTTTTTCATTTTTGTTCCAGTATGAAGGCGCAGATCAATTTCTTGTTATCACTCCTTTCTAAGGCGACATCAATTAAAGACTGAGCGATAAAGTTCTGGCTTACCTAAGATTGATTGCTTTTAATATTAAGAGTAAATATTTGATTTAACAGTTATATCACGTCATCATTGTAACGTGGTGTTATCGACCAATAATAAAAAAAAACGAGTAGGACAAGTGAATCTTTTTAATCCGACATGCAGCTATTGAATGTAAAAGTTATCGGTGGTTATAGAATTAAGTGGGATCTACTAGGTTTACATGTTTATGTATAATAATTGATTAGTAACTTCATTTGACAATGATGACGTGATGTTTTAGTTATATTTAACACTAGGATAACTCTGTGTCTAAAGACACGGTGTAATATAAATTAACCCATTTATGTAAAAAAAATTTACTTTAATTTGCATTAATTAAAGACATTGAAATTAATATAGACAAGTTGACATTTGTTGGCAATTATTATTTCGACAAAGATTGCTCTAACAATAGAAGCTAGGAAATTAACAATTTATCTACATAACTCAAAGTCTCTTGAATTTACAATTTACAATCAGACATAACAATAATCGATAATCAGAATTCATAATCAAAATTTCCCCAAAAATACCATTCCAGACCCACCAACCAAAACAGGCATTAATTCCAATCAAAAAACATCAATCACACGTGTGTTTAATTTACTTTATTAAACTCAGTTCACATAACAGACACGCAAAAAGAAAACCAAGGCAAACAACCAATGACTGAAAACACTTTGTAACCCATGAAAATTTAGTTAATTTGATGTAGATTATTTTTTATTTCATTTAATTAAAGGAAATAAAATCAATGTAATAAAAATATTGTTTGGGTCACATAAATCAATCAATCTAGAAATAACCTAATTTTTGTTAAAATTTCAACATGATTTCTTTTGAAAATATGAGATCATAAAAATATGAATCTATATGCAGAATTGAAAAATGAACGAAACAATCTCACAAAATCAACAATCCATACCCAATAACCAAAACAACAAGCAATTTCACATAAAGCCAAAATAAATCTCCATAAACGTTTAATTAGTTCACTATATTAAACAAAGAATAAACAAAAACCCACGCAAATCCAATTAATTTGATATAGGTTAGTATTTAGATCATTCAATTAAAGAAAGTTAAATCAATCTAATAATAACCCGTTATTTTTACAAAATTTTGATAGTGTTTCCTTTAAAAATAAGAGGTCATAGAAATGTCAACTTGTATACATAATTGTAAAACAAACATTACAATCCCCAAAAATCAAACAATCCATACCCAACAAACCGTGCCCAAGGGCATGACGCAACTGCAATTGTACATCGGAGTTTAAAATTGAGTTGGAGTCTACCTTGAAAATATATAATATAAAATGCAAATACATAACAGTTTTATGTATATCTGAGTACACGATACAGTTTTAGGAATAATTTACGAGTGTATTTAGACTTCATATAATATATCCACCATATCATATGTTTACCCAGTTGTTATATCCAAAATAATACAATGTTTTTGATCCGTTGCAGAGTAGACAACTGCTTGATAATTAGAGTTGTTGTAGGGTATGAAACAGTAGCCTCGCAGAAACAACTGTCTAGCGCATCCAAATATTTGGCTATCCTGCAAAATGTAATTAAGCCTAGCATCCCAGTAATGAAAAACTCTGCATAAATCCACAAAGAGTTCGATAAAGAATAAAAAACCCACAAAACCATCTGAATAAACAAATTTTGACCTATTCATCCCTTTTTTGCTATGAAATTGACATTAATAACCCTCTTAACCACTCACATATAATCTTTCACTCTCTTCAATACAAGAAAGCTTGGCATCAGACCACAAAATTCATTAGGTAAGTTTTGCTTGTGATAGGGATAAAGTTGCTAAGAAGTGAACATAACTACATATACATATAAATTGATCTACTTGACACATAAAAAATATGTTTCAACGCTAGGTTCAATTCTTTTAATACAAAATACAGAACATATGTTCCAACATCATGTAAAACCAACAAAAAGAATGCATAAATGCATATAGCCATTTTGCATCAGATGAGGCTTCCATGGGTTCTTAAATGAGAAAGTTTTACATTCAAATTTTTTATCTAACTTCACTTTCATGACATTTTTTTATCAGCCAAGAAGTTAAAAACAAAATTGTTGTGTTTGGCCATTAAAGGGAAACAAAAGGAGATGAACCCAAAAGGCCGAAGACTATCACACACTTCTTTCAAAACTATCACCACCTAGAACCACCTTCAAACATCGTAAGGAAATCCAACCCAGCATAATGAAGATCAAAACCATCAACTGTTGCCAAAGTTTTCCTATAAAAAAGGCAGCGCACAAAGAGAAAACAAAATGAAATCACTAAGAACCTATCAAAGCAACAACTAACAAAATTTCAAGATTCTATACTAAACTAATTCACTTTTTCCGAATTCAATGATGCTTTCCTACATTACTTCAAATCAGATATATCCAAACTCAAATAAATCATGTTAACAATAAATAAAGGTAAACATATTTGATCATTTCAATGCATAGCATGGATCAATTTCAATTGCCAAATATCATTAACATTCAATTTATGCAACTCAAAACTACCCAGCAGTTACCCAACAATTCCAACTAAGAACTAACCCAACTCAATTTTTCCACCATACACATCTTCACCACCATTGAACCTCTTGTTCTCATCTTGAAACCATAATTGCTATAAGAAACTAAAAATTACACCAACTGATAAAACAATAGCACCTCATTGATCGTAGAAGACCCATGTAGAAATAATAGCACCACACTGATAAAAATATCTAGGCCTTGTAAGACTCACTTTTAAGCCCATGAAGAACCATGTGAATCCTTGGAATACCACTGCCAACCAAACATTCGGAAGTATTCCAATTTTCACAAAAAGGAAACAAAAGACAATAGAAGTAGATAACTTAAAGATTTGAGATTTTTACCTTTAATTTGAAGTAAAAAAGAACTCACCCTTGAATATGGTTCTGCCAAATTGAGTGTTATTTGTTGAGCCTGATTGTTTCGAGGTGAGTAGGTCATTCTGTGAGGGTCAGGTACTTTATCATGGTGTTTTGGTTAATCATGATTTTTAAGTGTATTTTTTTGGTGCATTTTAAGATGCTAGAAATAAATTTAACTTGTTTCTTTCTTTTACCAAAATATGACCGATTAACTACACTTTATCTCTTACATTACGAGGTTTGTGTCACTTTGCCCCCTCAATAGTCATGTTTTTCATATTGTTGTTTCAAATATAATTGCTAATTTCATATTGTCCCATGATTTACGTCCATTTAAGATTTGAAGGAACATTATTTCACTTTCTTCTCCAATTAATGAGATCTTGTTTCATTTTGTCCCTACACACTGATATTTTTGTCTAAAAAATACCATACATTTGTATTTTTGATAGTGTAAAATCAATTCAAATAATTGAGGGGACAATGTGGGAAATTTAGGGCATGTTGGGTTAGCTTCTGCAAAATAATTTTTTGTTCTTAAAATTTCAAAAACACCAAAAACCTGTTTGTTTAGCATTTTTGTTCTCTAAATTTTGGAAAAAAAAATAAGATTTGAGTCAAAGAAATAAAAAACAAGTGTAACTTGTTTTTAGAGTTTTTTTTGAAAATTTTTGAAACAAGGATAACAATTTTGAATGTTCAGATATGAGTATTTATATAATATTTTTATGTGTATATATATATATATATATATATGTAATGGTCAATATAAAAATAACTTTTTTATATTTTTTTATTAATGTTTGAATTACTGTTTAAATATATATTTAAGTTGTCCAAACAGGTTTTACTATTTTCTATATTGTAAAATTGTTTTTGAAATTATCGAACCAAACAAGTTTTTTATCTCAAAAAATATCAAAACCACTTTCTTAAAACTCTTCTAAAAAATTATTTTCGGATATTATTTTTTGAAACGCAAACCAAACAGACCCTTAATAATTGAGGGGGCTACACGACAAAAACCCTATGGTTTGAGGGAGCATAGTATAACTATAACTAATCCAAATAGGATATATACTACCTTTTTTTCTCAGGCTGATATATACTATTTATAGATATTCATATATATGCAATTTTTTTATTTCTTATATTACTCTTTAGCCTTTCCCTAGTGCTCATCCATGATAAAATCTACAACCCTGCAGATTTTTATTTGTCAATAGTGATGATAAATTTTTTATTTTTTATATATTATTATTCAACTCTTTTCAAATTTGTCAATTAAGGGAAGAGAGATAAACTTGGTATTCAGATAGAGGAGAGAGAGAAATAAACTAACACTTGACAAGAAAACTGAGTGTGGAAGTGTGATATGTGTTGTGTGTGTGTGTGAGTGTGTGTTATGTGTGTGTAAGTGGACAGGTATTTTGAGTAGGGGAGGGTTGCGCAGAGGGGTACGGGTGGGTGTGGGGATGTCGCTGGGGAGAAGATGGCTTAACACACACACACACAGAAACTGATGGGACTTTTCTGAAAAACCCTATGATGAAGACACGTGTCCTCGGTTTACTAAAACACTGTTGCTAGGATCAAGCACTATTGGCGCACGAACGTCCTCGCCCCTGAGGTACCAACACATAGGATCATACATTCGGTATATTTTACACCGACACGTGGCCTCGGCCTGATATGTACCTCGATCGGTATACCACCCTCGTCCCCGAGATGAGCCTTTCCTCGGTGCCGAGAGGTACCCGTCCTGGACGCTTCCTCTACTCCAGGATAAGCTA